TATTGATGAAATTGCATATCAATGACAACTAATCTCTTTTTAACGGTGTCTGAACTTAATTTCTTAAAAAAATTAACATGATATGTTTTTTTAATTTATTTTTTGTTAAAAAAGTAATATTTACGTTTTAACAAATGTTATATGTGCATTCTCTTAAAAAAACAATTTCAATCATTTCGTCACTTAAATGTTATATGTGCATTCTCTTAAAATAACAATTTCAATCATTTCGTCACTTTCGTTATCTTGTTCTCATTTGTCTCCAAAACGATAAAGATGTTAATTTTATCCATATTTGTGAAAAGAATAGAAATGTATAATGTGAGACATTTTTTTATTTTTAAAAAGAAGTTAGATAATATGCCACTTTTAAATTTCACCATATTAATTCATATGTAAAAGGGAAGTAAAGTGTTACATTATCTCACTTTTTAATTTTAATTAATGTTGGAATTCATGTTTATATTCAAATTTTCACAAATACACATGTATACATCTTTTTAATTGATCCAAAAGAATTCAGATGAAATAGTTTATGACCTTCTTAAAGAAAAGTGACAAATTCTGTTATTTTTCTCATTCTTATATTTTTATTTACTTTTTTACAGACACCTTGCATGCATCATTTGAATTGATTCAAAATTAAATTTCCGTATATACTAACTCAATCCAATTCATACAAATCTAAATTTTAATACATATTAACTCAAAGACCATTAATCTAAAGATAAAATGTCATATGTACTGTAAAAAACATCAACACCACCAAATTAGAAAATAACTACCTATTGTATTATTGAATAATTGAAAACAAAAATTATTTAAATTCCTAAGCAATCAATGAATAAACATGCCTGATTAAACAAGAAACCAGAATTAGTTACTAAGGACCTACTTAGGAATTTCGGCGTACCGGTTGTAAGCGTTTTTAAAAGTGTCGATTTCGAGCGTTATAAGTGTATCGATTTTGATTGGTTTTAGCAGCAATTTTTAAAACCGTCTAACCTATACTTGAAAGTTTATCATCCATCGGTTTTGAAAGGTTTTTAAAAGAAAAAAATTATGTATATGTCCCTTAGTAAAATTTTCTTTTGTATGAAATTATTTTATTGATGAGTGATATTTTACTTATAGATATTTTTTTACATATAATTTAATATTTAAATTATAAAATAAATAAAGTTAAATATTTACTTAAAATTTTTAAGTTAATATTTTTTTACTTATAAGTAAATTTTACACTTATAGATAATTTTTAGTGAATTATATTACTTATAAGCAACATTTTATAATAAGTGGCTTTTTGTCTTATTAGTGGTATTTTCATTTTTTAACAAATTTTTTAATTAAAGTGAGTTTTTACTTATAAGTATTTATTTAATTATAATATAATTTTTTAAATTTTAAATAGTTTTTTAGTTAGTATATTTTTATTTAATTAGAAGTGAATATGAAAAATGGCAAAAACCTGTCAATTTGATGGGTTAAGAGCAATATTGTCAAAATCGGTCCGGCCTGATCGGTAAAATCGGGAATCAAACCCTAAACCGGGTCAAATCATGCCCGGTTAATTGATTATGACAAAATCGCTCATAACCCACTTAATCGGCCGGTTCAATCGTAAACCGGTGAACCTATCACGATTTTAAGCTGTTTTCCCGATCTATTTATTTAAGATTAAAAAGTTTTAACTTCATGAATAAGCTTCATAAATTACAATTCAAAAACTCATAGAGAATTACAGACGCACTTCTCTCAAATGGTTTCATAATCTTCCAATGTGGGATAGTGCCTTTTATAGATACTCTTCTCTCCAATGGTTTATAAACTTCCAATGTGGAATAGTGACATAATAAAAAAATGTTAAAATGTACATCAAAAATTATTTTCCAAATGTATGTAATATTCACTTTCATCTTTTCATTTATTTATTTTTCAAAGTTAACTTAAATTGCACTTGATTATTAATATATTAATGTTATATAATATATATAATTTTCTATAAGTTTAAACTATTTTAACATATTGATTTTTTATTTTTGAAGTATCAAAACTAATTGTAGGATAATGAATCGAATTGACAAAGATATATTTACTTTGAATTATTAATATAAAAATTTTAAAAAATTATTGTTTTCATAGTATTTTATTATTTTTGTATGTATTTATTGCATCCGGTTCGATCCCGATTGAACCTTTTGACCATTGACCCTTCACCTTTTCTGAGTCGATGACCAAGTCAGTTTTCAAAACATTGGTTGAGAGAACTGCTCAAAATTACACTACACCAATTTTGAGTGATTTTTAAACCTTCCAAAATTGATGTCCAATAAATTAAAAAGTGCCGATTTTTCAATCTCTCATAAACGATGCCACCCAAAATCGGTGAAAAAGAAAACACCCAAGCATGCCCTAAATAATTTGAATCAAATTTTCGAAAATTCCATAGTCAAAAGCTTTAAAATAAAAATGAGAATGTCACCTGCAGAAAGAAACTTCCGATCCTGATAGTAAACGAAATTGAAAGTGAATATGAAATTAATACCAAATCTGAAAAGTGAACTTCCAATGCAATAAAAAGATGTAGAGTTTTGATTTTGATTTTGATTTTTTAAAATTTGAAGAAGGAAAAGAGCAAAATATCAACACAATAATCTGGAAGAAGTCATGTTTAACTCTGGATTTGAATTAAATGTGAAGAATTTTGTGAGAGTTTTTGGATTTTTGGATTCTGTCGGTTTAGGATTATGATTGGGGGATTTCACAATTCTTTATGCTTTACCGTAATTTTTACGTGGTTTATATGTTATCGAGCTTAATTAATTGTTGACTAATTTATATATTGATTTTTCAAATTGGTATGTTATTAGTGTCTTTATGTAAAATGCCCATTATAATTTTACTTTAGCATTTTGATAAGTGTTTTCCCTCTTGAAAAAACAAAAAAAAAGAAGGCTGTTTGCGAAAAGGTTGCAGCCTTTGCAGATTCATAGGCTTGGGCTTTTGCTTCATAGAAATACTCTGGATTCTATTCTTTTACAAAACGGAAGTCATACATCAGGTATTAAGTATGCACCGGTTCAATTTTCAGATATTAAGTTTAAAATTTCAAAAGTCAAGTACTTATTCAATATTTTTTATTTTAAATAATAATATTATTAAATTAAATTAATCTATCCACCCCCACCAAACCCTCGTCCCTACCCACCCCCACTGTCGTGCACTCGTCCGTCGCCACTCCCTTATACAGTCGTTGACACCCAACCTCGCAATTACCGGCATCCAAATAACTTCATCGGAGAAAATATAGAATTTACAAAGATGGCCAACAATTTCTTTAGCAACGAACTGATCGACGACTAAGCTTCGCCAGCTCAAATAGTAGATATAGAGGGAGAAACATAGCGACCATTGAAGAACATTGACATAGCATTGTCGACGATGAGCAGTGTTGTTATAATTTAAATCTATTTTTTAAAAATTAGAAATTGAAAAACAACCATTGGTGTAATTTGGAAAGTGCTCACCGGAGCAAATAACTTCAATTTTCACCGTCGAAATTTGATTAATTGAATTTATAACCAATTTGGAGAATTGAGGTCAGAGATATCAATGGTGTGTGAGCAAATCTCTTGAATTTGTGATCTTTGGCTTATGCACTTTAACATATGGCCTGTTACGTTTGACCAGTGACCCAATAAACATTGATCTATGACCAATTTTAATTAATATGTGATATGTGGACATTGATCTGTGATTATATACATTAATCTGTGACCTACTCATAATGACCCGTGACCTGTGGACATTGATATGTAACCTACATGCAATGACCATTGATCTATGATCTTGTGACCCATGGAGTGTGATATACAAACATGATTTGTAACTAATTCTTTTTAATTTGTGACCTATGAATATTTATACGTCACCAATGCACAATAATCAGTGACGTGACCATCACCACTATGGCACCACCAACATATATCAGTATAGCATTTGACATACACTATGAATATGTAACCACCACCGCAAGCACCACCACAAGTCACCTCAAAAATCACCACAAAAATGCCTTATAAACCACCACAAAAATCACCAAAAATCACCACATAAACTACAGCAAACCACCACAAAATTGCTACAGCTGCGATCTAAGCCTTGATTGAAAAATTGGGAATGTGAGATCTTAGAAATTGGTTTCTACTTCTTCCTTCCAAAGAGAGTAGAAGAAATGATGAAAGAGGGAGTGTATAGCCAAAATGGTAGAAAGAGAAAGTAGAGAGAGAGAGATTAATAGAGAGGAGAGAAATGATAGGTTAGAAAAGACGAAATTGGGATTAAGTCTGGCTCTGGATGGGTTAGAAAGTGGTGTGTAATTTAATTTTATTATTATTATATAGAATTTCCACCCGATTTTTGAATAAACAAAATTTCAACTTGTTTTTTGAATTGTAATCTTTAAAGCGTGGTGACGATCGGGCTAAAAATCATTCGCGTTTGAGGTGCCTTGTGTCGAAAGTCTTCTTGACATTGGTGGTCAAGCGGCGGGTCCCGTTTGGTCGAGGGTGACGGTAATAACGGCAGTACAAGATGATTGACAAATGAATTATCGTTTCAGAGGAGGCCACAATGATGTGGTCCTTCGTTTGAGGGGAGGATTGTTGGGGCAAACAAGTCCCACATCGGTTGTGGGAAGAAAATAAATCCACCATATAACCTAAGTGGGTTACTCCACCCATTACCAATTGGTTTTGGGATGGAACCTCACTTGGGCCTGGTGGTGTGGGCTTGAGCCTTGAGTAATTGCTCTCAATAATTCCCTACAAATACAATACAATTTTGGCCATTTTCAAAAGTTCATTTAAGCAATACCTTCACATGCCGACAAAAGAATGAATAGAAATTCGATCTTAAGAAGTGCTTGATAAAAACAACCAAATCTAAATGCTTCAAAAATTTCAACAAATGACAAGAATATAACACGCTCATTGAATTGTCTAGATTTCGGTGTCAAAAAGACGGATAGTTAGATCAGAAACCACTCTGCGAGCGAAAGGTATGTAACTTAAACTGTACCTGAAATAGTCGAAGAATGATCGTATTAATGTTACATAATCTTAAAAGTTACTTCAAACTAAATTATAGATGGTTTAAATTGCTCAACTCTATTGTATATATTGTCAACAAAGAACCTGAAATTAATTCAAGGCAATAAATAGATATCAAACACTGCTAATATCATCAAAATTTTAAGGGCTTAACAAGTTCATCAAAGTTAGCAATCAAAAACTTTAAGGTACATGCCACTTCCAATTTTGGCTAAGCATGAAAAAAAATAAAAAAAAAAACTCATTTTCCAATTAACTCTAGTTTTATTGTTAAAATAAACAACTTACTCATTTCCAACAAAAAATGATTTATATTAAAACTTACTTATTTACTTAAAAGAAAACATTTTAAGCTTAGACGAACATGTAAACTCCTGTCGTATAGTAAATGCTTTAGTTACTCGGGCGATGCAATCATGCAAAAATAACGTCCTCATCTCCACAGAGGATGTGCATTAGAACATTATCTGATTGGGATGCAACTGGTGATATCTCGATCCCTGAAAGTCCCTCCCTCACATGTAGAAAATATAATGGCTTCCTAAGTTCAAGAAATAACGCCATCAAAGTTCTCAATGTATGACCCCACTATCCAGACCGCTGGTTTTGTGAATTAGTAAGTTGGCGTCTCCGAAAGAAAATCCTAGATTAGATCATTTCCAAAACATTGCTGACTTTCTAAGTCAGCCTTTTTGTACAACTAGAAACTAAGTAGGAGAATAAATTAACTAGCTCGAGTTGAGCTTTAGGTTTCTCGAGATATGTTTTCTAAGAAGAATAAACTCAAACTTGACTTAGTTTCGCAGAGGTTGAACGAAACTTTGATGTCGAATTGGAGCTGAGCTCGATCAACTTGGATATTTGGCAAGTTACTTTTAAATTGACAATTAATTTCCAGGAATGGATGACTTACCATTTCTTAATTTTGAGTAAAAAAATAAAGTTATACTAAAAGTAACTCTTACATTGGTATCTAATTAAATAACTTAGCCTCTGTCTTAGAAGAATTTATTAACAGTTTAATTATAAATAGTTATAAATAAGTCGTGGATAAGTGGAGAGTACTCGTGCATCCATTGAAATATGTGGTTGAAAATGAAGTTCGACCAATTTATAAATGATTTATAAATTTGCCAAACGGACGCTTAGTTACTTCCAACTTTATCCAATTAAAGAAATATTTATTTTAAAAACTTTTTAGTTACTTACAAGTGAACTTTTTAATTTTAGCCACAAAATTAACTTCAAGTCTTATATTTGGCTTCACAGACTGCAAGAGCAATTTAGTAATAATAGATTCCAAATATAACTTTTTAATTTTAGCCACAAAATTAACTTCAAGTCTTATATTTGGCTTCACAGACTGCAAGAGCAATTTAGTAATAATAGATTCCAAATATTTCCTAATCAATTCACTATTTATGCCTCTCTCGCTCATCAACAAAACAATTCTACTGAACCTCAAGTCATTATATCATTCGGCTTAGATTTCAAGGAAAACATCCTTTCAAGAAAAGTAATAATTTCATGAAAAAAGATACCCACATTTACTTTTTGAATATTGTTAGAACAAAATTGAAATAAGTAGGAGGAAATTATCTGTTATAAACTCCAACAAACAAAAGAAAAAAAAAAAGAAAAGAAAAAGAAAGCATGCCAAACCTGAAGTAAAATGAAAAAAATTGCGATGAGGGAGATGGAGGAGTTTGATCGATTAATTATTCCTTCAGAGAGAGAGAGAGAGCAGTCATTGTTGGAGGAACAACTTGAAGACGGGGATGCGATAGCAGTCTTATAAAATGCTAGACAAAATTACGCAATTATCCTTATTGAAGAAAGAGTGGCCGTAGGATGTTAGACACTGGTTAATCTAAGATTCTAAATACAGGTAGGGTCTTAGTGCATGAAGGCTATGATGTTAGTGATGGAGATAAAGATAAGAATACATATAGAGTTTAGATAGGATTTTAAATTAGAGTTTAATTCAAAGTATGTTTATTTTAATTAGATTAGTTTAGTTTTAATAATTCAACGACGTTAACTTATTAGAAGTTCTACTAGTTTTAGATTATTTGCTCTATAAATAGAAGGTTTATTCATTGTAATAGGTATCCTCGATTATATAAATAAAATTATTCTCTTATCCTCAATTCTTCTCTTTGATCCCATTTTATCTTTCATCTTCTTGTTCATTGTCAAATTAGTACGGGCATGCATGAGTTAGCTTCCCCCTCCAATTTGATACTTTTGTTAGATATAATCGAAGTAAATTTTTTGAGTGAGAATGACAGTTACATATTCTCATATTTTTTGAATTTCTATCATCCAGAGGAATAGAAATGGCAGAGCTACATAAGATTTTCTCAAAGGATATTCCAATTAAGGGTCAATCACCATTTTATCAAGTGTCCCGAGTTCAACTTCTACCATTCATTTAGTCAAAAGGATATCTCAAGATTTCACTTGAAATAACAGTAGATGTAAGATTCTGGAATGAAACACACTTGAAGGATAATGGAAGAAAGTGATTTAAAGACAAACTCACCAAACAAGGGCACAGATCTCACATATGATTGCAATTATTGTTAGAATCTTACTATGTACCTGAAACCAAACCAAATGAACTTCTAATTACAAAACTAACAATATAAACAAAAATATAGCGACAGATCAAAATATCCATGGTGTGCTCATACACGATTCTGGGTGAGGGTGCATAATGCCCTACGAAGTATAAAAAATAGTGGGTTTAGTAGGAAGGGAACCTCTAAGCACAATAATGAAGCTTGAAAGGACAATAAGAAGAAAAAGAACGGGAAGTGAATTGACTTCCATTATTGAACTGTTTAACAGTTCTTATTTCTTTTCACAAATTCACTTTGAAGTACATTTTAAAACATTATTGCCTCATTATTTAATAACTAATCTGAAAAAGTGACAAAAGAACGGACTATTGGCCAGCAAACAAAATTAGTTAGTGTCCTGTAGCTCGGCTCAGTGAAGTTTAAATATAATAGATAATTTTGATAATAATTTGAATCATATCTTCACAACCTTTCCCCTTTCATGCTCACTTCATTTCAACAGTTCCCATTAGAAGTCTTTATAATTGCCAATTTGTGCCACTGGTTGGTCTCCCATTCAGGCAGCCTTGTATGATTACTCTCACAAGCAGAATCAAGTATTTACTTTTCTTAAAATTCAGTTAATGCCACGACTTACCAAAAGAGCACAAATGAGAGCTAACACAACACACCCTGCATAAATTGCTGTAGCATAGACACGGACAGGATCAAGCATCATTCTTAGCTGTTGCTGTGGTCCAATAAGGAAGGCTGTGCTGCCCATGGATCAAAAAACAGAACCTCAAAAAATGAATAGGAAGAACAAAATTCCAGCTCAAATGGATGCATATAAGCAATACATAGTAGTCACTATTTTGATCTGATTTCATATTAATAGTGAAGACTCAAGTTGGTAGCGCAATACTTTTGATCTTGAACACTTCAGCCTTACACCATCTATGTAGACTTTTTGCTCAAGGCCACCATGGGATCGATAGAAGCCATAAAAACATTGATCTCCAAGAATTAAGCTCTGCCAGCAAAAGTGCATGTTTGGTATATGGTATTGGAGTCTGGATAGGACTTGGAAAATATAGTAAATGAAGGTTTTCTTTCTACTTTGATGTTGTCAAATACTTTACAGTAAACCTTGCCAAAAAACCATAATGATAAGATTTTCATGGATCAAACTCAATTCTAGAATGCAAGATAAACTGACACGTCTTAGCCAGTTTATATCATAGCATACCTTCCAACAGCCAGCACATTGCCAAAGGTAAAAAGCAGAGCAAATTTGATGGGTTTGACAAAAACAATCAATGACTGCAAAATAGACAAGATGGTAAAAGTTGGTTAATAACTTCACAGAATGCATCCATGTTGCTTTTTAGATATAAATGAGTGCATCTTTTCGTGTTTCCCATTCTATAATAGAGCCTCATATTTTCTCGAGATTGTATAAATTTAATTTTTGTAAAAAAAATAAGAAAGTAACAAGGGAATTCAGCACTTTGAGGCTACAAAGTTGCAATTTTAAGGGCATGTCTGGCCAAGCTTAAAGTTTGTTTTCAAACATGTTTGGACAACTTATATTTTCATACTTCTAAATAGAACAAATTAATCATTTTAATAGTCATTTTCAAAATAATTAACTTAACTTATTTATAAGTTTGACCAATAAGATCAATGTATTGTAGAACATGAATTTACTTATAAGTAAACTTTTAAGCTTAGCCAATCACAGCTCTAAAAATTTTGGGCCATCGAAAGAAGTTGTACTGAGAAAGAAGGGTGTATAATTTCCTGAATATCAATTGTGCTCGTATTCATCTCTGTAGGAATCCCATTCAAGAATTCGAGATTTCCACAGAATGCTCAGTAAATAATATAACATAATAAATTTTCAAGAAACTGAAAAATTGAACTGTGGGATTTACGTACCAGGAACACACAAACAAGCCCAGCTGCTAAACAAGCAGCAAATCCATACAATCTCTGCTCATGCAAAAAAAAAAAAAAAACCAAAAAAGAAATTCATAATAAGCTAAAGTTTTGAACAAAAACTAAAAATCTTTGATTAATTGATGATGTAATTATTGCACCTGTAAAGGGGAAAGAGAACAGAGGCCTTCGGTTTCATCCAATAAATTGTCTTCCGGCTGCTCTTCATATTCACTTGAAGCTGATCGATTAATTAATTTCCACATTTTTTAGATTTTAATAATTTTTTTCTTCTTCAGTGGTTACAGAGTGATCGGATCAACTCTCCCATGGCTTTTTCGGGAGCCGAGAGTCGCAGCTTGAAGCTGAGAGAAAAATTATGGATATTGATGAGGTGGCTTTTGACGAAAAGGCAAAGTAAATTTTTTTCATTATTTTTAAACCTTACGAAATCACCCCTCAAAAATATGAGTTCACAGTAAATGCCCGATAACCTTACATTTTATTCAAATAGATCCTCTTTATTTCCCCAGTTACAATTTAAGTCTTTTATTACCATCCTCTGAGAACCGCCTGCTACTACCGGACGGAGAAAATTAAAACCCTAGCGGGAGAGAGAGAGAGAGAGAATGTCATCGACACTGCTGGAGGTGACGCGTGCGTCCCACGAAGAGGTGGAGCGGCTTGAGCGGCTAATCGTGAAGGACCTCCAGAACGAGCCGCCGACCAACAAGGACCGGCTCTACCAGAGCCATCGCGTTCGTAACATGATAGAGCTAATCACCTCCACGACTAACAAACTCGTAATTTTTGTTCAATTGTTAGCTTTTGCATTCATTTTTCGTTTTTTGTGTAGTTTTATATTTGTGGTGATTTAATGATGGAAGAAGCAATAGTTGATTTATTTGTTTTTATTGAAATAGATTGAAATATATGAAGATAAAGACAGTTCCAGGAAGGACGAGATTGCGGCTCTTGGAGGCCAAACAGCCACGGGAACCAATGTTTTTAGTGCATTTTATGATAGATTAAAAGAGGTTCGCATTTCCTTTCTTATGATCAAAAGGAAGTTTCTTTATGTTCAACACGGGCATGCTTTTCACTTAATTGTTTATCTATGCATTTTTTCTTGTTCGTGGAAAATGTTTATTTCCTAAAATTTGAGTTATATGCAGATTCGTGAGTACCATAGACGACATCCAGCTGCACGAGTTGTTGATGCCAATGACGAGTATGAACAACTTCTCAAAGAGGAGCCACAAATTGAGTTCAGCGGGGAGGTTTACTCTCTCTCTCTCTCTCTCTCCCCTACACACCCACACCCTCACCCTCACCCATGCACACACTCCCAGAAAAGACTGGGCAATATTTTATTATTTTTGAGGTCCTCAAGATCCATTATGATCAACTGCAATCTGAATGGATGGTATTGTGTGGCAAAATTGAAGGAAAGTTTTGGTTTTGAATATGTATGTAGAAGTATCTCTTAAGAGCACTTGGACAAGTGTTTTATATAATAATTCAAGAAAGGTGAAGTGCCTTTCGATGTCTTGGCCCCATGTCTCTGGAGTTTGCTGCATACCCTGATTTTCCTGTTATAGAAACAATATTGGCATTTCATTGTTTTATTGTTTTGATTTCAACTTAGCACCATGGACCATGGTACCACCATGTTGGAAACAATGACCTAACAATGGAATTATTCACGTTACTTGGAGAACCTGTAGGGTACTTGGGTTAGATGAGGCAGCAGCCTACCAAATCCTCTAGATGGGTTCTCTCTGCCTGGGTGAGGGTTTATGTTGCACATAGCATGTTGTTTGCTGCAGAAATCTGTTGGAGCTAGATGCTCTCTAATGTTGGTGGGTGGTGGCTAAGGGACATTGGAGTGCTGAAATTTACAAAGTTTCCAATTGAAGTATAATTGTGGTTTTCGTTGTCCGTTATTGGGCTTTAAACTGGGCTCCATGTTAGTTTCTAGAGAATTTGGTGTAATGTCTGATTAACCTTGTAACAGTTGTTACCGTTCCTTATTTTCTGAATGTGAGTGCTTTCTTGACTTTGTTTTCTAAGTAGGAATTCTGATTTTCATGGGAGGTAATGTGAGCAAGTTATGTGAAAATACTTGAATTGCAATATTTATATGTTCCTTGTTCTTTTGTATTCTGTTGTACTTAGTAACTGCATGTCTACTTTCAGGAAGCCGTTGGACGATACCTTGATTTGCATGAACTGTTCAACGACTATATCAACTCCAAATTTGGGGAGCAGATTGAGTACTCTGCTTATCTTGATGTGTTCTCGCAACCAGAGAGAATATCTCGCAAATTGAAGTTAACAAGGTAATGATTTTCTTTTATGTTTTGCTTCCTAACATATATAAGCCCAACCAAACATGCTCTTAGTCCAATGTCTTGCCGTTTTGCATAATGCAAACTATTTCTATAATATATATCTCTGGTATCAACAGGCAATACCAGGAATATATGCAGAAATTATTGGAGTATCTGATATACTTTTTCGAGCGGACAGAGCCTCTGCAAGATCTTGGCAGAATATTCTCAAAGGTTCAATTTTGAATATTAACTTCCCTCTGTACATTGAGTTTTATGATTGGCACCCCTTGTATTATCTCTAAGAAAGAAAATAATCATATTTTCTTATGTTGTTGCAATAAAGATGTCATTTATTTTTCTGAAGTTTAGTTGTGTCCTTGTGACAATTAAAGTATAATTGGAAAGTGTTTCTTTAACTTATTATTTCTCATCACTGATAATTTCATCCTAGGTATTTGCATCTGCCTTTAGGTTAATATTAATAACAATTGCAATAATGGGAGACCAGTTCCTTCTTAATTTTTAGTATTTTTAACTATAGATTGTAGATATAATCTCTACGTTTGTGCTTTCTCTATAATAAAAAATAATTCTTCTTTTCTCTGTAAGGAGAAGTTCTGGTATAAGTTTATAATTCTGGAAATATTTGTGTCGTTTTGGTGCATGCAGTCCGCAATTGTGTTGGCTAATATTTGTGATCTATAATGTTTCGTTGCATAAATGAGCTCGCATATAGGCATCTGTCGATGGGCAGTACCATCATAAGCTGTATCGTGCAATAATAAATTTTGCCAGTGAATTTTTAATTTAAAAGAGAGTCATTTATGATTTGAAGTGACAAAGTAATTGTAGCACTGTTTTTATCTAGTTATCCACTGATTTTTCGAGGAATGGAAGTCAAGTAACTGTGAGTTTCTAGCTCCATTTTATTAGGTATTTCCATACGGGAAGTTGTGTAATCCCTAAAAAGTGGTTTGGGAGTTCAGTATGAATTGGCTGCTAGAAGAATATTAATATCCTTCGTATGTGATCTTTTTTCTAAAAGTGATGGTTTCTGGCAGGTAGTCACAGAATTTGAAGAACAATGGGCAAATGGAAAGGTAGAAGGATGGGAAAATGAGGCTCAAGAAAATGGTGACATTCTAGCAGAGCATTCTGCGATTGATCTTGATTATTATAGTACCGTTGAAGAACTGATGGAGGTGGGACCCGAGAGGCTAAAAGAGGTATGGCAGGATTTCACGGAAGCAATTCTAAGTTTTTCCTGCATGTTCAATTTAAAGTAACTGGTATTGTGATCCACATTTCATTGTCCAAGTTCATGTTCGTGCTTAGCATATTTTACACTGTGCCTCGTAGCGATGCATAATTGAACAGTTCTAAAAAAAATCACACTTTTCCGCCCAACACTTTCTGAATTCCAATGGAATGTACTTAGCATTATTCTTTACAAAATAAACACCAACAATGAATTTCATGCAATTTCCCGGAATGAATAAATGCAGACATGTACTCTAAAATACCTCTTCGACATGTTGTAGCATTTTTTAGTCAGTATGCTTTTCATGTCAAGCTATTGGATTCATAGTTTCTATACCTACATGTGAAGTTATAATGAGAAGATGCTTTTCTTGGTTGTGGTACATATCGAATGATATATATCCTGCATATAGGCATTGGCTGCATTAGGTTTGAAGACAGGCGGTACCATTCAACAACGTGCAGAGAGGCTTTTTCTTACAAAGGTCAGGATTTATCATCTTTTCATGGTGATTATCGTTGTGGCAAGCACACTGATCTTGTTATATTTCTTTTTCAGCATACACCTCTTGAGAAGTTGGACAGGAAACATTTCGCCAAAGGCTCTCGCGGTCCACAACAAAATGGTAATTCTGTAACTATACAACCAAGTGCAGATGCAAAAGAGATTGCCCTGATTGAATCCAAAGTTAAAAGGTTGTGTGACTTGTTGCAAGAGGTGAGCTGACCATATCCGACTCAAAAGAAAAGACCATCTTCCTTTTTTTCATGTCTTCTCTTTCTTTCTGATTATTCTAGATAATCAATGGAAGTTATGTACTTTTTGCTCTCTTGAACTTGCATTTAACATTACTTGTTAAAGATGTTGTACCCTCATGTGTATTAACTTTTCTCTGGTTTCGGAATGGTACAGACAATGGTCAGAACAAAAGAAAATGTCGAGAAGAAACAGGCCTTGACGTACGAGGAAATGGAAGCAGAACGTGAAGAGGTAATTTACCCCAACCCCCCAACACGCGCACTAAAGAAAAAGGGAAATGGTAATGTCCTCGTAAAGATTGTCTAGTTGATGTATTGGTTTTCCGTGGTATTCAATAGCAAGCATAAAGGATAATGACCATCTAATATTTTGCGTTTCCAAGATATTTTTAATATCTATTCTCATATGTTGCACATCAAAAGTATTGCAAAGATCGGTTAGTGTTGCAGCATTGTGTGATAGATTTTCACAGTTGATGGAAGGAGGAAATGATAATAGCGAGTATGAGTTATTTTATTGCCTTGTCAGTTTAAAACTTGAAACAGTTATACATCTGATATTTGGATATGTTCACCCATTGTTGATTCGTTTGCAGTTTTACCTGGCAATATATTTTTGTTTGATTTGAACTTTTTGAGCAGGAAGAGGTACAAGCTGAATCTGAGAGTGACGATGATGAGCAGCAGATCTATAATCCCTTGAAATTGCCCATGGGATGGGATGGGAAGCCTATCCCGTACTGGTTGTATAAGCTTCATGGGCTTGGGCAGGTAATTTTCATTTATGATCACAAGTTAATGGTGTCATTAGAATAAAATTTTCTTCAAATTGGTTACAAAAACTCTAGACGCTACTAGTCAATAGTTCATTTATACTACTGGTTACAAGTTTTTAACCAGCAGCTTCCTTA